CAGGGCTGCGTGCAGGTCTCAGCAGGGCTGTCTACAGGGGTTCAGTGAGAAGAATGGCCTTTGCATTAGTGGTTGTTCCTGGAACTAGCCAGACACCATCCAGCAGGAGGTTAATCAGCAGCAGGAACCCCACGCAACCGCTAGAGGAACCCTGGTTGGGAATGGCAGACCTAGGCTGTTCTCTAGGGTACAAGTACATTCTATACAGCATTTTCAATAGTAAGGGCTTGTTCACACCAAATGCGGTGCGTTCCAGAGCAGTAGCTGCTGGAACGCACCGCAATCCCTCACAAAACTTTCCCCTGCGTTCTGGGGCGGAAGGGGGTGTGGCGGTGCACAGAACTCAATGGCACCGCTTCCACCCCACCCGCAGTGTGATCAGATGCGTGGCAAAACTTTGCCTGCATTCCGTCCCACTGCAAACGCAAAAAATGCTGCTTGCTCTGTTTTTTTGCGTTTGCAGTGGAACAGAACGCAGGCAAAGTTTTGCCACGCGTCCAATCGCACTGCGGGCAGGGGGGCATGGAATCGGTGCCACGCCCCCTCCCACCCCAGAACACAAGGGGAAGTTTTGTGAGGGATTGCGGTGGGTTCCAGCAGCTACCGCTCTGGAACGCACCGCATTTGGTGTGAACAAGCCCTAAGGGTGCCAACTGCAATGCCCCCCTTCTTTTGGTGCCATACACATGTAAACAAATAGGTTTTTCACTCGCAGTAGACACTCTTCATACGCCCGAACTTCCGAAAGCCGAACACAGGATCTATCTCCCGCCTCTTGCTCTTCCCCGGCATGGATGCACTGCACAGTAGAGTCTGCAGAGTTCCATCACACAGAACACTCGGCGCCCGCCCGCCACGCCGTCACACTTCTGTCGGAGAGGTCAGAACGGAGAGGGAGGCTGCGATTGGTGGAGAGTGTATTCCGGGGGAGGGGCTATGAGGGTCAATGGCATCCCACGTGCCGCCTTCTGCCTGTCTTTCCTCTCCGTCAGCCAAAGCTAAAAATATTTAAAGGGCCGGTATCAGCAGTATGTATCGGAGCATTTTCTTCAGTACAAGTACTCGTGAAAATGCCCTGTATCGGCCCCTATACTAGTATCTGTACATCCCTACTTATAAGGCTATGAAATTTGCATGAAGAAAACAGAAGGAGACAGTTACAGAGTCCATATAAAAAAAGCACACATTTCTCAACACCAGACAGCAAGTGTTCAAGGGACAAAACAGATTAAACAGAAAGACACAGGGAGGGCTCCAGGGAGCTAGTTGATAGAAGAGCCATTCCAGCAGTGAATCTCCGGGTTTGGTAGTTTGGTGCAACACTAAAAAAGAGAACCTTAGGAATTACTAGCCCAGATGGAGAAGCTAAAGTATGCACCGACTGGGGGGAAAAAAATCAGTAGGAGATATTGTCAAACAAATTTCTTAGGAGACTTTTTATAAAAGGCATGATACAGTCTACAACATCTAACCTCTAAAACATTAACCTTAAAATGAGGATCGAGCTTCCTGTGGTAGAGGTAAAGCCCAAAGGAGGGAACAACATTTTTACTCTGTGTCAATTCTCCTGAGCACTGTGTTGTCCAAAGAATAAAAAAAGAAAAATACTTTCAACAGTGTATGTTCACTATAAACATTATTTATTTCCATTAAATGATTACATTTTTTGCATGGCAAATAGAGTTGTGTAAAATCCTTTTCCTTGAGTTCACTATGGGACACAGGAATGTAGTAATTCTTAGACAGTGAGGTTAAACTGCTGGCTATATGAATAAACAGCAAACAGCCTGGTATAACTCCTCCCACTATGCCTCAATTTTGTGAAAAGCAATGCCGAGAGTTTACAAAGTAGACTCACAAAGCACAAACTATATCCAGACAATGAAGGGAAATCCCCTTCTGATGTACTGGTTCTTTACAAAATAGGTCCACCAGTTCAGACACACATTTTACAGAGGTGATCGTGACAAGGAAAGTAACCTTGTGAGTAGGGGGAGATAGGGAAATATAAAATAAATAAAAAAAAAAAAAAAATCAAATTTCACTGTGTAACAGGTGAATGCACAGGAGAAATCACATGAGAAACAACCTGTACAAAAGTTTTAACCCAAGTATAGAAGGCTAAATTGCTTTTCTTGCACCAAGTGAAACATAATCTTCCATGTTCAATGGTGTACCTTTCGGAAAATTGACTTCCCAGCATTCACATAGTGAATTCCTCAAGTATAGTCCAAGAAAATCAGCAGAAAGGATTTCCCCAACTCCAAAGATAGATTGATGAGCCACCAAGCCAGAGATAACTTGACCATTGGTAACAGGCAAGTTGGTCTGTCTAGAGACTGAATCTGTTTGTCCCACGATAACAGGATGTTGAGTTGTATGGGTCTGGAGTGAAACTGGGCTAACAGACTTTCCTGAAGGAGGCTACCATCAGCCCCATGAACCTCATGCAAGAGCAAAGAGATTGACTCCTGTGTCCAAGAGTTGACCGAGTCTAGGAGTGGAGAGTATGAAGATTTTTCTGTGGAAGAAAAACCTTATCCTAGACACAACTCAAGCAAAGGCCAGGTACTCCAAGCGATAAGTGGTTTGCAGTGCAGACTTCTGATGGTTTAGGATCTACGCAAACATTTTTAGGGTTTGAAATGTCACATTGTCAGTCAAGACTTGTGCAGACTGCTCTCTTAACAGGAAGTCACCCAGATATCCCACAATAGGCCCTGAGTGCATAACAAGACAAGTACAGGAGCTAAAATCTTGGTGAACATACGTGGTGCAAAGGAGAAGCCGATGCAAAGCAAAGGAATTGCTCATGTGCTGGAAAAATGAGAACGAGGACATGGTAGATTCAATGCATAATTTTTGGGCCCGAATTAGAACATTTAGAGCCATGAGATCCGAAATGGGATGCATGCACCCATTTGGCATGGTAAATGTGAAAAGGTTGCAAAGAAATCCTTGAAGGCCTGAAGGTTTGAGGCCTAGGCTTCTTTACCTGGGGTAGATGAGTACTCTTACCCCCAATGACATCCTTGATTACGGGTGTCCAATTCAGCACCAAAGATATCACCCTCAAAAGGCATGCACAGAATAAGCTTTTACATGCATGTCCTGCAGACCAACATGCATGTTCTGCAGACCAACAACAGCATGTCCTCCGATACGAGACTCATTTGGAAAATAAGAAGGGAGACATCCATCTACGCAGTAGATTAGGGCAGTGAACATGAACTATAAAGATCAAATTTCCATTTATGTTGATCCCCTATTTATAGAGCACTTAATTTCCTTTTTAATACATTCTCCTACTTTGGCAAGCTAACATCACAGCCATTGCAAGCTGCAATGCAGTGCCTGCCAGAGAAAACAAGGAATCTTTAAACCTTGATATTTGTGATCCTTAAACACTGGAGCACGCACTACAGGAATTGTCAGCGCTTTAAAGACATGGCACTGACAAGATAAATAGTGATAAAAATCTACTTCTTCACAAAGTCCTTCTCAAATAGATATCAGGCTGCAAAAAGTTTGGGAGCTTTGAATAGTTTATCAGGAGGAGTTCCCTAGTCCCCAGGCAGGACATATTGGAGTGTGCACCAGAAAAGTTTTTCAAGTCTTAGGACCTCTAAGGGAAATGCAGACTAGTAGCAACGCTAGTAGATGCTATAGGCTGTTCTTCCATTTTTAAGTTGGCATGCACTGCATCAATAAGAGCTAAAATGGTTTCTCTAAGCCTGGGAGCTGTAACAGATGTTTGCAACTCTTCAGGGACCACTATCATCTGGCAAGAATTTTTGAGACACTTCAAGGCATGCTTGTAGCCTCCGTAGAGGTCAGCAATCAAAGTTTCAATTTGGCCCATACAATCTGCAGTGAAATCCTCCTGGAATAAGGCCAAAGAAAGGGCCACACTTGACAAAGCTAAGAAAAACTCCAAAGAATTAAGGGACTCAAGCAAGGGAAGAAAATTCTATGCTGTCGGTGTCAGGCCTTTAAGGGGGAGCATTGCAAGCCACCCGGAACGGACCATGAGCTGGAGGAACACAATAGAGAAAGAACAGAGCTTCAAATGGCTAGAGGTGCACTGTAAGACGCAGCATGGGGTAACCAAGGTAGAACTGTGCATTTCTTAGGAGCAGGAGCGGGAAGGTGTGGAGTGTGCATGCATGATGTTTGACTCAGTGATTCAACACTTCCACTGCATTTCAACTATTTCAATCCCCTGGCCTATTAATCCAACATTTCAATAAAATAGTCCAAATAAAAGTGGTAGCTTCTGATGCTCAGCCCACCCGGTCCACTCGTAAATGGATTCTTCAGCGAGAAGGTCACACAAGAAGCTGTGGGGTCCCAGTATGGCCTCCAAAGCTATTGCTGAGGATATGCGGATCCGGATAGCTGAATAAAGAGACTGGCTCAAGCAGTGTGTGGCAAAGTCTTGCTTAAAAAAAAATATATAATCTTGAGAAAAAGAATGGCAAGTAAAAATGGTTAAACTTTGCTCAGTAAAGAAAAGACATCCATCCTCCTAGGTCACTAGGAAAAAGTGACAAATGCTGGGAGTGGGACGGGTTATATCACATGCTGGGAGTGGGAGGGGTTATACCAGGACAGTCACTTTTTTTTTTCCCCATTTGTTACTGTGCAAACCCTTGTGTATGCGGCAGTATAACCTGTATGTCTACGAATTACTACATTCCTCTGTCCGTCAATGAACGCTGATTCAGAAAGTCACTGATCTAGGACACGCATGCAGAAAAATCTAAAATCACTGTCCTGCACTTTTGTTGCAGTGCAGTAACTTACTGGCTAGGAAGGGCAGGATAAGGATGGGGGCCCCAGAAACACATATTAAAAAACAAGCCAGTGTCAGTTCTCATATTTCTATACTCAATGTTCTCCTATAAGCTCCTGATGTAGCCATGGCCATTCCACTATATGTACATTTGGAATAAATATCAAAGTTAAATTACATTTCATTTCCACAATGTTAAACTTTATTTATGTTCTCTTTTAGCAAGTTTTGACATAAGTAAATATACATGGACATTTGTATGTTTTATGCAATAATGTAGGTGTGAATATTTTATATTCCACCATAAAGTAGTAATCTAAAGGCAACAGAGGCCTTGTACTCCTGGGTCCACTAATGTTTTGCACATACTGTACAGTACTGTCATTAGTACAATGAGATCAGAAATCCTGTAGAATGTAATGACTTAGCATGTTCCATTTCTAACTGATTCCAGATGAATAAAAGACCCAAATGGATTAAGAATGTGACTTAATATAGAAGAGACCTTAATAAAAAACAAACTAATACAACTAGTGCCCCTTTTTAAGATATAAGGCAATTAAAAGGTTATGGTCAAAATACATCTCTGCTCCTTGTGTATGTTTTATACAGTACTTGCTGGATTCTGGTATTCCAAAATGAGGAGGTAACAGTGACCATTGCCTTGTAACAGAGGTCTTTTGCATTGTCTAAATACAGATGGGTATTAAATCAGTTTAAGTCCTCTAAACCACACCCTTGTACATGTCCCGGTGAAGAGTCTAACTTTATTCCAAACACTACAGGAGGGAATCATCTGTGCAACCACCCTCCAGCCCATAACGGAATTCCTGCAAGTTGGATACTCCATAGAAGTGGATAAAAGCTGCTGCCACGACTAGAACATGGAAGATTTGGTGGGACTGGAACTGGAAGAAAAATATAGAAAGACATGTTTGAGTACAATGCAGAAAAACAATACAATATCATCTTAAATTAGATTGATAGCCATCACCAAGTCTATACAGGTATTGGATCTAGAAGCAGAGCATCCAGCCCTTATCCTGGGGCCACATATGCTCTCACAGTGGCATCACATTGATGTCTGTGTAAATAAAGCATTAACACTTGTGTTGACTGAGCCTTGAAATATCAGATTCATTACTTTTCATAACAATTGTGATCACAGTAATAAACCAAATTGAGAACAGCAGCAATGTTATGTTAATATACTACACTTACCCATATATCAAATTTGCCAGGAAAAAAACGTTCAGGAATCCTTGCTGCATATAGCCCAGCTCCTGTTATGTACATAACGGCCATTAAGAAGAACCAGCCCATCTGACCCACAGTAGTTGCTTTAACAAAGCCTTCCGCAATGGTGAAATGGAGGGTTGGAACAATGCCACTCAGACCAAGACCAAGAAACACACCTAAAGAAATACGGCAAAAAGACAAGGCAGGATTCATAAATAGGTATAAGAAACTACAAATATAAATAAATACAAGCATTATGTAATTTTAGCATGTTTCGGTTATTTAAGTCATAGAAGCCTTTACAGACAACAAATCCCTACCTAAAAAGCTTTTTACATTAAATCTGAACTCTATTAATCCTTTGAACATAGTGATACAAAGCCGTATACTGAGCTGTGACGGCTATCATATACAGTTAAAGCTGACTACACATGTAAATTGTAATATTTAGGTCAGCACATAGTTGGGGATAGATCTGAAGCAGGTTGTGCGCAGGTCATACAATCAGATTATAATGTGTGTAAATAGCATTATGTCCACTTTAACCTACCCTTGCCCATTCAATAGCAGTCTGTTTAATGTTTACAACAGACAAAATGGTTTTTGTTTATGGCAAGCAGTTTTAGGTCTAGGTCTTTCACAATAAACCGGGTTCATGATAGTGAATTAATAAAAAATGGTGGGGCAAAGTTTGCTATAGCATAGAATGTTTAAACCAGAAATAAGGAAGTAAAGAAAAACAGGAAGTTAAAGTAACACTGCTTTCAGAATCAGACTGATAAATGTAACGGATTTGAGACTTCCAGCATTCTCATTAACTGGAAAGAGGTGGAATAAAAAGAGCTGGACCTGCAAGGTTTGTCCTATTGGTGTGGCAGGCCAATTAGGATGTGAAAGAGTCAGTATAGGTGATCTGACTACTGGACAGGCATCTTTTACATTGCAGATGATCTCCACTATCTCCTTGGCTTGTGGTGTCAAACTGCGGAATTGTGAATTAAAGTGTCACACTCCATTTAAAATTACAGATACATCTTTATTTAATGTAGGGTTGAACAGTATAGAAATATCCAGAAATATCTAGAAATAGCTTGTTTACGGGTGCATACAGAGACCCCCTTCATCAGGGCTTTCTAAGGTAGAAAGGGCAATGGCTTGAAATGGAATACTATTTTGTCTTGTGTGGGAGAATGCATAGAGCTCTTTAGCAGCTGATTTGGCTTAGTTAGCCATTTCTATACGGAATGTGGCACTTCAAATTTACAATCACGGTGGTATTACATTCTTTATGTTGCTATTATATACAGGTGAAACTCGAATAAATAGAATATCGTGCAAAAGTTCATTTATTTCACTAATGCAACTTAAAAGGTGAAACTAATATATGAGATAGACTCATTACATGCAAAGCAAGATAGTTCAAGCCGTGATTTGATAATTGTGATGATTATGGCTTACAGCTCATGAAAACCCCAAGAACCCCAAATCCACAACCTCAAAAAAGTAGATTATTACATGCAATCAATAAGTCAGCATCCCCATAGAGGTCGTCTGCAGAAGGAAGCATGAAGTGCTCCAAAATCTTCTGGTAGACGGCTGCGTTGACCCTGGACTTAATGAAAATATTTTAAATAGTTCACCAACCAAAGGTTGCACTACTTTTAAAATGGCCATGAAGCCAACAATAGAAGCTTGTCTCAGAATAACAATTTACAGGTATACTCATGCTCAGGAATATTAACAATTTTTTTTTAAATTACAAAAGGATTTTGCAACACCAATGTGTTGACTTGTTGCCACTAAAAAGACAATGTGGATAGTCTCCCCATTCCAACATGGCAGAAAACATGACAGTAAATGTTAGCAAAACAAGAAATGTCTTTTAATGTGTCAAGTTATGAGAAATCCCCTTTATGTAAGAAAATCTTTGGTGTTTTTGAAAGGTCCCTGCTCTCTATCTAATTCAGTACTGTTAAAGAATAACACTTCTGTCAGAAATATATTAGAGTTAGACAAAACTTACCTGCCCGCGTCGGCCTATGTTTTGGCGTTGCAAAGCGGTCCCATTGCGCCACAACAATTGCGGTGATTCCCAGCACGCAGACGATCGACAAATATATGAGGCGTGGCTGGGGGGAGCAATAGAATGAGTAATACAGCCAGGGCACAAAGCTTCCCATGATCAACAGCGCAATCCCCGAATAATCCAGCCTGAAACAAAACAAAATGACTTGCATGTTTCTATAAACATATCTGGTTGAAATGAACATACAGCACATTTGCAGTGAGCATACAGGAGCCACACATTGCAATTTGTACTCCGAAGCAATTTCACATGCCTTCTCTTCCATGTCTGTGTTGTTGCATCAAAGGAAATGTGTGCGAGGAGAATAAAACATTAGGGCTGGTACTGAATACAATTTTCGTGTTCCATTAATCGAATTTTTTTTTAATCGATTAATTATAACGCACATACAGATCCAACTACATTGGCCTATACACATACAGCACAGCAATGAAGTAATAAAATGAACTAGGATCAAACTAATCCAGCACGTTATTAATCTCACGTGCCCCACTCAATATGGCCGCCACTTGAGTGGGGCAACTCAGAATAGTAACGTGCTGGATTAGTGTGATCCTAGTTCATTTTATTACTTCATTGCTGTGCTGTCGCAGAACTCAATAAGTTCTCAGTGTCAAAAGATCACCGGCCCAAGTGGCTCCGTCGGCTAACGAAGGGAAGGGGGGATGAGTCCGGTGACGTCGATGTCCGTGACGTCACCGGATCTCCAACGGGACTCCCGGAAGACCTGGAAGCCGGCAGAGAGCTAAGTGTTTTCATTACTGATTAAAATTCTTTTGATCGATCAAAAATTTTAACGATTAATCGAGTAATTAATCGTTCATTTTCGCAGCCCTATAAAACATACTTCAGAACAATATTTACATTTACACTAAGGGCCTGTTTATTTGGAGAAATCTTTGCCATTACTTAAGATAACAATGTAATACATACATACAAAACTAGGCTTTGTTTTGGCAACATTGTTTCACAAACTCTATTTTATTTTTTATGGAATCCATCAACCAGAAGCCATGTTACAAAAAAAGGTGCCCATCAGGAGAGTCACTGCTTGAGTAAGGGATGGGTTCATTTTGAATTTTCACAAATGATTTTGACAATATTCCATTTTCACTTTCACCACATACTTACTTTGAAAATGTGCGGGACACCTTTTCTGAATGACAATACACGGTATGAAAAAGCCATGAGAAACTTAGACATAGGACAGCTCCAAGAAAGAACATTCCAAACACCACCTTCTCTTGGAGGGGAGCCATGAAGTACATGTTTGGTCTAAGCATAGTCAGGACCCCCAGGAAAACAAACAGCAAAAAACCTACATGGTTAGAAGAAAAAAAAGCAAGCATGTTATATATGCAAACCAATTGAAATAAATTATCTGTCAGCAAGAAAAAAACTGGGGCATAGGACTGGGGCTTATTAACCTCCCTGGCGGTATGATTTTTAATTTTTTTTCATGTCATTTTTCGGTATTGTTTTTTTCGAATTTTTTTCGTCTTTGTTGTTTTTTTTCCAAAATATCCCGCCGGTTCCGCCCCCCTGCGACGCGTATGTTCGCAAGCGACAGAACCCGGCATCGGCCGCAGAACACAGCGCGGCTCGAGGGACAAGGTAAGTAAATGCAATGCGGCTTTCCCGAGTGTAGCTCGGGGTTACTGCTTATGGTATGGAAAAGTAACCCCGAGCTACACTCGGGAATACCGCCAGGGAGGTTAATAATATGTACCAATTAAAGAGTAACAGGGTTATTCACAAAAGGGTGAAGAGTTTGGAGAAGGCAGGAGAAGTGAACAATCTAGGACAATATAGCTGTTTTGGGAAAATTCTCCAATTCAGCTCACTTTCCAGTTCAGCTATGTTGTACTAGATTGTTCACTTCTCCTGCCTTCTCAAAACTCTTCATTCTTTTGTGAATAACCCTGTAAGTTTACCTTTTCATGTTACATCCATATTCAGGGTGTATAACTTGAAACATGGTGATAATGCCACCTACCACCCCCATTACGCCCCCTCACTTACCTGAACTGCGGTGCTACTGTGTTCTGATCTCACTGCACTTGTCTCACTAGTCCAGTCATTTTTCCTCCCTTCCCTGATACTGAATGTCCATACCTCAGTACAGACAAGGATGGGAGGAAGAATTTGCAAGAGCCAGAACATTGCACCCGTGATCCACTGATCCCATGTTTCAGTGTTTTACTGGCTTCAATGCAAACAAAATAAATGCACATTTTCTATTTGTGTATTTATTTCGTTTTTTAAAAAGGTGGATTTTACCTTTAAATTTCACTCCTATGACTTACCTATTAAATGAGTCCATATGTTTCCTGTCTCAGTGTGTATTCGAAAAATGCTCCTGAAGCAGGCACGGAATGATGGCATCGGGGGACGGTGCCCATGTAGAAGATAGTCATTGTCTTTAAGCCAATCAGGAAGTACATCATACGGAATGACTCTCCATCGTCCTTCCCAGATCTTTAAAACAATGGAAAAAAGATCAAGTTAACAGAATGCGAATACTGTAAATATTTGGCTTCTCCATGGTGTGCACACAGTTCTCCGGAATTAATGTAAATTAAATGGGGGACAGAATAAGCTGGAAACAAAATCTGGTTATATTAAAACTGCACATGTACAATCAACAGTGTAACTATTTCTATTGTCCGCCCAAATGAGTTGGAAGCTTAATGAGGTTGAACACAATGGAATCGTGTCTTTTTTCAACCTGACTAACTATGCAACTACTGTAAAATTTGGCCATATACACGTACAGCCAAACTTTTAAAGCATAAGGCAATGTCTTCCAAGTTTAAACTCCCCCTGTCACTACAGGGTAGAAACTGAACTAAGCCCACCTTGTAAAAGAAGATGCTGTATATTTACCTTTCCAAAGGCGCATGTCCTCGAAGTCCATCACAATGCTGATCCCTGGCCACTGTAAGTATCCAAACACTTCCATGTGTCTTGAATATCTGCTGGTGGGAAGAACTACAGCCTGCAGGGGGGAGCAAGTATTCAACACACCCAAAACTGTTGGGTAACTACTAGGGATGCACCGATACCGGTAGATATATATTTTTTTGGTACTCGCCGATACCGAATACCGATACCGGAAGGCCCATTAAGGATGCCAGGCGGCGTGTAATGACTCGCCACCTGGCTTCCTGATTAGCAGGGAAGCCGCCCTCATGATATGTGACAAGAAAGCATGGAGCCGGCTTTCTGGTCAATCAGGAAGCCGGGCGCGGTGTAATGACGCGGAGCGCGGCTTCCTAATTGGCCGGGAAGCCGGCTCCATGCTCCCTCATCATGAGGTGACGAGGGAGCATGAAGCCGGCTACCCGGCCAATCAGAAAGCCGGGCGCCACGCCATCAGACAGCGCCCGGCTTCCTGATTTGCCAGCCTCCCGACCAATCAGGAAGCCGGGCAGCGAGTCATTACATGATGCCCGGCTTCCTGATTGGCCGGGAAGCCGGCTCCATGCTCTCTCATCACAAGTGTAATGACGCGCTGCCCAGCTTCCTAATACAGGAAGTATCGGGCTAGGCATTGGAGCATTTGGGCGAGTGCGAGTACTCCAAATACTCGGCATCGCCACCGATACTAGTATCGGTGTATTCATAGTAACTACAGTGGCCAGGGATGAGCAACATGACAGAGTATAAAGACACGGGCCGATGGAAAAATAAATTTTTTTGATTAATCAGTTCATCAAGCATAAACTAAAAGGGATATTTAACACTTCATTTCCCAGCAAAAGCAGTTAGCTGCAGCAGACTTATAGCTGGTGCAATAAAAGATACAGCAGAAGTGGGATATGTATTTAGATTAATGTGTTAAACCAATCCCTAAACCCTCATATAATATTGACCACTTTGGCATAGTTTAAAAAGTAATTTTCAATCTTCAACCTTTTTAAATTTTGCAGAATTCAATAAAATAATACCTGGTGGTCCTGCCGTGAAGTTCCTTGTTTACACACTGTCAATAATGGGATAACAATGCTGTGTCCCTGTCTCCTAATTTCTCTCCTGCTTGGTTAACCTGGGCGCAATTCACTAAGAGCTAAATAACTCAACCCACCCTGATCAGTGACATGCATTCAGTGCTGAAGAGCATCTAATTGTTTATGATACACAGAAGGAAATTTATTGAGCAGACACAATCTGGAGCAGCTGGCCTTGGCAACCAATCAGCTTCCATCTTCCACTTACAAAGTAACATAGTATGTAAGGTTGAATAAAGACCAAGCTCCATCCAGATTAACCTATGTATGGGAGTGTGTGTGTGTGTGTGTGTGTTTATCTGGCTCTAAGACTTCCCATATCCCTGTAGATTCTGCGAAAGAAGAAACTCATCCAGAATTTTCCAAGTTTAACTAAAAAAAATAAAGAGAGAAGCTGATTGGTTACGATGGACAACTGCTCCAGGTTTAAGTGGCGAAGAACAAATTACTTTTCACCTTATATACAAATTCCTCCATCTTCTCCATAGCATGGTGTGCTTGTAGAGGAAGAGTCAGTACTCTAACCTCCTCTTCTTCTTCCTCTTCCTGTGGCCCCTTGGCTTGTTGGCTTTCATTTCCCTGCAGCAAAAAAAAAATAGGAGGACATTTATCAATTCTATTGCTAAATTCTAAACAGGATCAGGGATGGATGTAATATAAGGCTGCAATTGCAAACAGATATTGCTCCGTCTACTGCTTTTAAGGAAGCATGGAGACAAGATAAAAGCTGGCCCTTGCCACTGAATTGGGTGTGCGTTTTGAGTGAAATTCCGTCTCAGACTTTTGCAAAATTGTCTCAGCTGGAGTTCAGGTGCAGAAGTCAGGAGGAGACCACGGGGGGATAGAAGCACTCCCTTCTAACATTTGTTGTTTTAGGGCGGCTGCCATCTTGACTGTTATAAACATTTACAGAAATTGGACCTGTAACTTTGGGGGCCTTCCACTCCAGTTCCCCAGCTTTGGTGGAGTCATTCCACCTTGGAGTAGAGTGAGTAATATTTTTGATGAATACTTTTTGGAGTAATGATTCTCTGTTACATACAACAATGGTCCTTTGGATGTTGCACCCGTTGTATCCAACTTTAGTGTGTGAAAATGTCAATAAATAGTAAAAATTCTTTAGAAAAAAAAAACCCCACCAAAAAAAATGTATGCACTTTGATAAATGAGACAGTCTGATTTGCGAGAGATGTGCGTTTTGTTTTGTCATTAATTTGCTTGATATACAGTATGCATAAGAAAAGCAAACGGTCTCAAATATCATTCCAAATATGATTCCAATTAAAGCATAAATAACTCAATAGGAGATTGTACATTACTTTCATGCCTGACAAAACATTTACAGTAAATGCTACACCCTCTTTATAAAACTGGATGTGCATAGCACTCTAAGTTAATAAAACATTTACAGCATTCTGTTTTTAAGATTAATGCAAATATGCTAAACTGCCAGCACACATCAAAAGGTGATGTATCGTTACATAGCTTTCAAAGCTCCTGAAGAGTCTCAAAGCTCATGGTGCTCCACTTTGCAAACATGAACCTCAGTTTGCTACATCAAGTTCGGAAAAGCCCCCTTTTTACCATACAAGCCCCTTGACTACTGGTCTCTCAATGTGATGGTTGAATTGACTGATCAACAGTAAGGGGCAGAAGGTGGCATGCCAGAATTCGTTTAATAGCCAAGGACAATATTTGCATAATGAAACAACCTGAGTTTCAGGGCTTCCATAAAAGCTAAACATATGTGTTGGCTCCTCTAGACCTAGGTTTAAGCCTGCAGACTATTTAGGATTTTTAGAATGATTATAGGTATACTTTAACATCAGTTCTTGTACCTCTGTCTTTTTCTGTTTTGACCAGTGTTAGTTTTAAAAAAAATGTAGTTTTACTCTAAAAAAAGTATACATTTTATTCTATAATTTGTTCCATTTAAAATTATGCAATGTTTTGGGTCCAAAGCATGGCAAAGTTATTTGGACATTTTTTTTGCTTTTCTCAATTTTGTAAATGTTTGAGATACAGTGGAAAAACAACGTATATAAAATTATGCATACAAATAGAAAAAAAGAATTCACAGCTAAATAAAAGCTAAGGAGAGAAAGGAGTTAACCAGAGTCGATTAGGGTGAACTGGGAGTTAAAGTAGTAGTAAAGGCTCTGCGTTTTTTACATTAATGCATTCTCTGCATTAAAGGTAAAAAACGCCCAGTACCTTTTTGTGCCCCCCCTGTTCCCCACCTACACTTACCTGTGTCACTGCTGTCACCACCACCTGATCCTCAGTTCCATGGACTTCCTGGTTGCGGGGGGAGGATACTGATGGCAGAGGAGGCATAGGCTCCTTTTGCCATCAATCAAACTGCTGGGCAGAGAGGAGAGGCACGGCCTGCGACAGGGCTGTGTGTGCCTATGGACGCACACAGCTACTTGCGGTCACGGCTGGGCACGAGCATGCACGGGTGCCTTTACAGCAACTGCTTAGCTGTTGAAGGCACCCGTGCAGGGGGCGGGGTGTGAGCACTGCGAAGACCCACTAGAAAAGGAGGAACTGAACGTAAAAAAAAAAAAAAAAAAAAAAACCTGAAGATTTTAACTTTTATTTTTAGGGTGGGCCTCCAATATATAGAAATTAAAAAAAATGTCATGTCAGTTAAAGGGTCAAATAGGAATACATTTTATTTAATAATAATAAAAAGTTACCGGGTAACCTTATTACCATGAATTTTCTAGTACAGCACTTGAGAGTGGTTCCGCCCACCTCAAAAAGAAAAGCTCAAGACTCACGTTAAAAAAAGTGCATCCAGTTTGTCTGCCTCAGTTATACATTAAGAACGGAAAGGCAAATAAAACAAGCTGTAGTACTACAAAACTTGAGGTGTTAACATGAATGGTTGGGAATTCACTGCAGTCATGAAAGGTTCTTGGAAATTAGGTTGCCAGGTAACTAATTGTTCTCCCCAATCATCTTCCAGGACATTAAAACTTGTAACATTTTGAGAGGATAAATGAGAAATCTATTGGGAAGGGGACCACAGTTTGCAGTACTTTTTCTGCCGAAGTACTGGTCGTGATTAGAGAGCAGATCAAACTTGTCACTGTCAAAGGTGAGGAAGCCTAACCAGAAAGCTATTCTGGATATCTGCTCTGGAGTGGCTCCTGTTTTTCTGCTCAAGAAGCTGTCAAAGCCATTGTGGACTGGGAATTAGCTCTGCATGCTGATATAAAAATCATATAACATTCATTAGTTAAACAAACATGTTTTTTTTACTTACAAAAAGAATTCATCCACTTCCTGGTCCTCAAGCACAAATGATGTAATTGTGCCCAAGTGAAGTGGTGCATCCTGGGAAGGTTACATCAGCAGAGCATTGATGGGAAATCTCATCTGTAATCTCATGAGATCTCAGGGAAAGGCAGTTTCCTCCCCTGAAATGATGTGCATGGTCACATGTCCTAATCACATGTGCCAGAGTTCCAGGAAGTAAAGAGATCTAGTAATCTGCCCATAGTAAAAATGGACACTGAGAAGACTGGGGAAGAAAAGAGAAATAAGGTATGTAAAGAATACAAAGACAGCAATTATCTAGAAGTATGTGTTTGTAGGTTGTCATTACTAAACATTTCTAAAAGGTGTGTTTGTTGTTATTTTAAAGATATGGGTAAAGGTCCACTTTAACTTCTTTGGGTGGTGTCATATTTAGAACTGGGTATGATTCCAGACCGCATCCATCTAGCAGTTGTACTCTTTGAAGCTCTGGTTCCTTTTCCAGGTGCCAGCATAAAGTATGAACAAATTGGTAGATTTTCTCCATGGTTTGGAGATTTCAAGGTTGCTAGAATTGCTTTGCACACATCTAGGCAGCCTCTTTGTCATTTTATGGTTTGTCACATAATAATGTCTTGGTTTCTAACGGAACTGGGTTGTTATGTTAGAAATACTCCAAAAAGAAAGAAACACAGATTCGCTATCAATAAAGCTTGTTTTTCGCTCACTCTTCTTACTATTGCAAGGCCACTAACAGAACTGTTTTCAATGTAATTAGTTTTGCCGAACACTGCAACATTGGCTTAAAAGGGTCTTTAATAAGTGTTTTTTTTAGTACCACAGTGAGATCCCATTGAGGAAAAGTCTGAAGAAGCTTGTGTATTCTCACTTGAATCGTGGTGTGTTTTGTGTATTTCTTTCGGAGCCGTGCAGTAATTCAGTGTAAAACTGTGCTTTTGTGCTGAAGCCTCCTGTAAGAAAAGACCGGTCAATGCTGCTCTATCTCTTTGTGCATATTGACTGGTCTTTTAACAGCATCCTTCCCTCAAAGTTTTCTCCAGACAGGCTGTATTGGGTCCCTCCCACATCTCTGCTCTCTTCACAGACTATGTGCAGTACAGTGACAAGGTCACTGCTACATTTACACCTGCAGTTTAGCTTTAAAAATCTATGCATTAGAGGGTTCCCTACTAGATGTGTGTCCATGAAAGTTGAAAATGCTGCAACGTACTTTAGTGTGCTACCGAAAGATTTTGGTCTGTTCCTCTTGCAGGAATTCTAGCACAGAAGCTATCCGAGAGTTCAAGCTACTGTTGTCCATTGCAAGCCAAAGACAAAGTCTTCTGCACTCTCTTATAAATAGCATTAGTGACCCCTTTGCAACTTGACAGAGTAGAAATCACTAAACCCTTTTTGTTTAAATAGCTGCTGTTCAGGCACAAGGCGGCTAGTTTAAAAGTCTGACCATTTAGGTGAAAAACAAGGCTCTGATGCACCAGGTCATGTGTGCAAAGAAGCATCCAGGGAGTATTACTGTTGTTCTGTGGTCATACTCACCAATCCAGACATAGGACACCAAGAGTACCTTTTCCCTCTGCAGATCGCCTTCCACCAAGGTGGGGGCACTGTATGCCTTAGGGGGGAGCACTGTGACAAACCAGCCCAATAGCCAAGCGGTGTGTCCCCCATGAGATATTTCACAGCTTGCCCCAGATTCCAGGAGGTCTATCGTAGCCAACACTGCATCTAAGGCAGCATGCGCTAAATGGGTGAGCTGGGGAGACTACAAGGATCTATGTTATCCAGCCTGTCACCCAACTCAGCTGTTGATTACCGATCAATGAATGAAAAAAAGAAAAGAAAAAAACAGAGTATTAAGTTCCCCCTTAAGGGAACTAGGTCCACGCTCCTTGACACTAGCCAAAAAACTGAGCTCCCTCTAGCATATGGGGGGTTTGGCCACCAGCAGAGGCCACCCCTAGGCTGAGCTTGGTTTGTTGTACCTAGCATCCTACTCCTGCAGTTGGCAGTATAGCCCATATTCTTGTGTGATCTTCACTGTGTCCTTGAATAGAAGAGAAAAGCTTCTTTTTAAAAAAAATAAATCCATTCTTCTTATAATCAGATCTGTCTAGAATGGTCTTCAGTAAAGAATAAAAGATCACCAGTGAATGGAATGCCACAAAGGCTTGACTTGGACATAGGGTCTCCAAACCAAGTGTGTGCTCAAGAAACCCCATGGCTGGAAGGGACTGTAAGATTTGTTTTCTCTGCGATCCGGCCTCTGGGTGGGATCCAAGTTGTTCCAACCAAAGGTCTAATGTAAAGGGCTAAGCAAATGGTTACCAGTGCAATATTTAGATTGGTGGCTCAACTCCCAAGCTTTTCTGAGTATGATATCTGCTTACTAGTACACTTCTTTAAGTACTCCCATGTCTACGTTGAGTCTGAGTTGAGATCTGGGATAAGAAGGCATCCAACTCAGGGCACTATTCCCACAGTTTCAAGTACGGATGTCTCGATACCACTTCTTCAAGACCAAGTACTGTCTCTTAGGTACTTGCTAATACCAATTACCGATATTTTTTTCTTAAAAGAACACGTGACATTTTTTCTAAAACACAGTCTGATGATTTTAGGGCAGTTTCTCACCAGAGTTAAATACAGGTGTCCGCAGAGCACAATACAGGTGTCCGCAGAGCACAATACATCTCACCAGGCTGCGATCTCAGCCGGGGGGCATGTGGATCTCTGCAGGGCTCTGGCTATGCCGTGGAGAGTTGATCGGGTGGGTGCCATCTCCGGGGCTGTACTGTGCTGTGTGGGGCTGTCCATGGCTGTGCCTGCGCCGGGAAGAAGGAGCAGGAGATATAGAACCGGACAGGCACTGCCAAGGGTAGCTACTGCCGGGTCCGCAGCAGGCTGTCGAGGTCCCCAAGCACAGAACTCAGCAGCCACTGTGGTTTAAAAATTTAAAAGGGCCGGTATCGGCCTTAAGAATCAGGGCATTTTCACGAGTACAAGTACTCGTGAAAATGCCTGGTATCGGGACAATACTAGTTTCATATCATATAAAGAAGATCAAGAGGGAAAATAAAAGGATTCTCAGGTTCTCTTCACATAGCCTTAAACAAGTCTCTGAACGCTTCATGAAAAGGAAATGATCAGTCTTTCGCCCCTGTAGCCCTCTGCACTTGTTATCATGTGTGGCATGAACGGCCTTAAGGAGCTCTTCTGTTTCATCAGTGTGTAGTAGATACTACTGAGTCCTATCCTCTGATTTCTCCTCTGCTGATGCCTCCTAGACCTCTGAGGAGTCTAAGTCCTCACTGGACTCAGTGACAGAACTTCCTTCTCAAACAGAGGACGACACAAAGGAGGCGTTGTAGGAGAAATCTGTAAAGGTAGATGGTAACTGGCTAGCAAAGTCCTATAGCAGAACCCTAAAGGTCTGAAAGGCTGCAGGCATTTCCTACCCCATCAAGTTGATAAGACCTTTAAAGAAACCTGCTGACTCTTTGGCCATTAATTTATCAATGCGTTGTTGGCAAAGAGGTTTGTTTCAGGAGCCTGATAATTTTGAGTTACAGGATCCACATCTCATCTCAAGTTTTGTCCTGCAAAATAGCATAAAAAGCATAAAAAAACGGAATACTAATGATTGGCTATGCCTCAGAAGATATCTCATGTTTGACTCTGCGGGACTTTATTTCAATACTGAGAAGCAAAATAATAAACGTGGATAACCACATTCTATTTATATGTAGCACATTGTAGCCGCGGCCTAAACAGCAATTGTCACTTATCAGTCACTTTGTTTGACTTTGGAAACACACAGAAAAGCGATATCCCCAGGAGGAACTCACAAACTTCAGTATTCACCCTTAACTTTGGGACTTTCTTCCACCCACGTTAGTGGTATCCCCCCAGCGCTATTCGCTCGATACAGATTACTAAGAGCTATACCGGTTCAACTTCATTCACTATCAACTGCTAGTCCGTCCATGCATGTTTGTTACAAGTGTTTTGTCTGTTAGTCTAATTAATTTTAATGGGGTTTCAGGTGGTGGTTGCTGATCTTTCTTGATGATCCGTATTTTAATTATATTTGAATAAACAATATTTTTGTTCTAAAGGTACTCCGACCTAAATTCCTACTGGTCTTGAGTTGATCTCCTTTAGATCATCTCCCCCATTTTTCCTCTAGTGTTATATGACAGTAGAGGGTTGTCGAATACCGCACAAACATTAGATTAACACCCAAATAGGGGTTAATCTTAATTGTGTCTGATCTCTGGTTATACCCCCTCTATCCTCTATTACACCAGCCCACTGCTTGCTGTGCCCTCCTCCCAGCGTGAAGGAGAGCGCTAGGGGATTCAAACAGCTAATCGATTAGTTGATTTCCGCCCTAATTTACATATTACATTTCAACAGTCTGAGGGTGGTCTTGAATGGTCTGATAAAGCCACCCTTAAAAAGGGCATAACAAGCACTTTCAACCAACATAAGCACCGATAACTGCACAAAATAAATTTGCAAGTTGTTGGAAAAACCTCTGTGTAATGGGGCAAATAAAAAAGGAAGGAAGTATTTCACCACAAGGGCCCGTAAGCAACCAAGAGATCTCCTGTGTACTCCAAGAAGTGATCATAGAATCTCTAAGTGACTGGCCAATCCTTCACGCTCATTAAAAAGGGGAAAGTATCTTGCCACATGTGCAAAATGTTTCCAAGATGGAGTGCACTGGGGCCTGGTGCTTTTGTGGACGAGCAGGTGATCTCCTGCATGCTGTTTTTAGGGAGACCACTGTCTTTGGCCAAACTAAATTGCTGAAAGCTGATCTGTGGTAGTTTGATACTCTTTTGATGCAGGATTGCAAAGATATATAATAATAATGATAATTTATTTGGATGCGATATTTACTTATACTGGATTGTGTCAATTTATGAATACTGGATTGTGTCAATAAGAATATTTTCCACTGTCCACCTATCTGCATCAAATTAGCAGTGCCAGTCTGTGCAGACTGTTTCAGACGTACAACACCTATGTGTGCTAAACAATTCTAATTGTTACTTTCATACTTTGTTGTCAGAAGTAAGTTTACTCACGCAGCCTGGAGTCTGCCCAATTCTTTCTCTTCCTGTTTCAAGGAGTGGTCCCAGCTCTGTCAGCTCCAAATCGTCAGCATCTCCTCTGGGACTGCTAGACAAGCCACCTTCTTGTGTTAAAGCTTTGCAAGTGGCCATGAGGCCCGTTTACGAAGGGGTGGGGGAGATCTTTGCTGGTATGCACTTAATCTTCTCTCTATGTATGGATTTTTAACCTAAGAATACAAAAAAAAATGAGAGGTGTTGCTTATAGCCATAGATAGAGACCGATGACTACCATTGGCCAGGCAGTTGATACACATGAAAAATTGTTCAGCACTTCAAGCAGATATAATAAGAACACCAATCAATGCCGTTATGCATTTAGAAAAAAATGAAATGAAATGTATTTTAATTGCAATTAGTGTAGAGTCAAGAAACTTTTTAATGAGTTTCTTATTTCACTTCATATACACAAATATGGGCAGTGTTAGAGCCATACAAATAGAGAGACACACAATAACAACCTTCCCTACTAGGTTACCTGAATGTGTATAGGTCAACCTCCTCTAATGCCTTACCCAGCAGCACTCTGATTGGTAGAGGAAGGTTGTGTAATGGAAGACATTTAGGTTCTGCTGCATGCGCACGTGCCAATAGGGAACATTTTGTCATGAGCAAAGGGCTGCATGAGCAGCAAAGAGATGGCTTCACCAGTGTGCTCCAGGAACTTCAAGTCAGGGATGTATCGTGACCAGTAAGGGCCCATTCAAATCAAAGTCGGAAGAAAATCACAAGTCAAAGGAGGGTCAGTTGACTTGCAATTGTAGCTTCCGATCCGTTGTGTTGCAATCTAATGGATGCTAATGGAAGGGCACCGAAAAAGGAATGGATGTGAATGGGGCTAGTTCACACTGGATCCGTTGCGTTGACAAAAAGTAGTGCATGTTCTACTTTTTTCCAGCACAACGTAATGTTACAGAACAGAGCAGTGTGAACTACCTACATTCACACCCATTCATTTTTCGGTGCCCTTTCGTTGGCATCCATTGAAAAACGTGTCACAACAGAACCGAGGTAAAATTAGCCTTAAAGGTGATGAAGTTGATGAGGTTGTGCTGTCTGACAGGGGTGCCTGGATCACAGGAGGCTGTACAGAATTCTTCAGCAGGTAAAACTATAAGCGGCTTAACTAACTAGTGTCAATTATCTACTTTCAGCTTTAACTTTGAGTCATTCCTATTGAGCGAAGTCTGATGAAGGGCAGTTAATTACCTTACAGACTTTAATATGTGACAGAGTGACTCCTGGATGCAACATTATTTTATCTACTCTGTGATAGAAGACCAGTTATTTACGCCACTACAATAAAGTCAACTGGCTGCAAAGTTCACCTTAAAAAAAATTCTAGCCTCTTCCTGATCTTTGACCTAATCCTAAAATTACACTCGACTCCTATCCAGCTCAGATGACTCCAATAAAAGTTAGTAAATTACCAAAACACACATGCTGCAAAGTTAAAAGGAGAATTATGAGGCGAGTGATTTTCACCCATCCTCATAATCTGAGCCGACCTGTGACAATGAAACAGTCAAAGGTCGGCTCAGTAGATCGGGAAGTGAGTGAACACATACATTAAGTCGCGCGATTTTGCAAACAGATTGTGACACATTGATGTAAATTAGCAAACGTGCACAAAAATGCAGCAAATGCACATTTCCATTAAAGTCTATGGGGCCAAGCCCCTGGCTTCATCTGCCAAAAAGAAGCTCATGTGGTCGCTAGCTCCTGTGTGAAGATCTGAAGCTTCTCGAGTGGCCATGCAGGATGATGGGGCGGGCACATGAGATTATTAGCAGGGAGAAGAGGAGATGTTGAAGAGGGGCTTCTGATGTGAAAGTCGGGCTCCTGATATGAAGGTGGTTTCTAAAGTAAAGGGGTGAGGTGAAAGAAGTGATTCTAATGTGAAGGGGCACCCCCCTTTCTTTTTGCATTGGGCACCCCCCCTTATAGTCAATATCAGAGTCCTACCCGGGTTAAGGGTCTGGTATAGGCTTTGGAGGGGCTACAGGTAATTTTAGACTGGGGTGCCTCAAGACTTTGCATTCTTTTCAAGGGAAAAAAGGTTGAGAAACGCTGACTTATCGGTATGTTGTTACTCTTCATTGTTCAGCAGGCTGAGGGCAGGAAGGAGACACCACTGCATCCCTTAACTCTAAAGCTGGCCATACACCTATAGATTATCTGCAGATTTTCTATGGTCAGATGGAAAACGTGCAACCGATTCTGCCATCTACGCTAAACTGTGTGGCTGGAGGAACCTCCCACTGGGCCAAGCTTCGGTATCTTCCTAGTCAGCCCCGCTGGCTCTCAAAATACCTGAACAATGCCAGCATCCAAATCAGATTGTTCAGGTATTTTGAGATCCAGCGGGGCCGACTAGCAAGATACTGAAGCTTGGCCCAGTGGTAGATTCCTCCATCCACACAGTTTAGCTTAGCTTGAGGAATCTGTTGCACGTTTCCCATCTGACCATAGAAAATCTGCAGATAATAACCTATAGGTGTATGGCCAGCTAAAAGAAGAAAGTGGTGTCCCCCTCCTGGCAGAGGTTTATGAATCACAAAAGTGGCTAGGCAATTACAAATCTTCTGGCCCATACTATAGTTCATTTACCTCCATTTAGCCATTTGCCTGAAGTGCAGCTTTAAATAGTTCAGGTAGGTGCAACTTTTTCAAGATCACATACAAGACGTCAGAACTTTATACCTATATACCATGCAGCTGGAACTGATGTGTTTATTATTATTTACATTTTATTCAGGTCACACAGTAAAACTGGCTACATAAGTTTATGTGTAACTCGTATGTCAACAACATTTTTCTAACATTCTTTCATGCTCCACCTTTTATTCTTGCTAAAAATAGATTTTAAAAAAACATTTGTGCACTGAAAAGAAATGTAAAAACGACAAATATTTGGTTAAATAGCACGTTTCTATATATTCATTATTTTAAAATAACTCATTCAAATAAAAGAATAAATTAAGGAAAGAAGATGATTTTAGTTATTGAATGTTACCTCCTATATACAGTATATGACCAGCATATTCATTTCAACTGACACGGGAAGAGAAAAAAAAACTGCACAGATTTTTGCATTAATGGCCAGTCCCCTGAAGGAGGAACCTTTAGACTGGACCTTCAAAGTGATTCAAAGTGAACTTGAACTTCGCCTGGACTAGAACTGCAGTATACAGCAGAAGGACTTAAAACCTCAACCCCGTCCCAATCCACCACAACAGCACCCAAAAATTCCTGTGCAAGTTTCGAATTGCTCAGGACTTTACATACTTCCTCATCCTTTGTGACAGAGTCTATGTCTGGCTATTGGCTTGTATGTCACCTAGAGCTCCTAGTGGGAATCAGGGGTTATGTGCCCCCATGCTAGCAAGTACCAGCCTTTGGATGAGCTACAGCGGAGGACTGCAGGGAAAAGCTTGTGATGTTTGCAGAAAAATGCATCACCAACAAATGCGAGAAGCTAAACTGATCAAATCCTCTCTCTAGCATCAGAGCTAACTGCCAGTATCATATACTGTATACAGATTATTAAAAATACACAGACACACACTGATATCTAAATGGTACTGTCCGTTTGGTAGGACCTGGAAAATCACGACTTGTGACTCAAGATCTCCTCCAGGCAATTCACTCTTGTTACTCAACATATTCAAGAAGTGTCATAGTTACATAGTTAGTCAGGTTGAAAAAAAGATACATTTCTATCAAGTTCAACTATATCACTACATCAGCAAGTACAGTTATCCTTTACTTAGAAGGAAGCAAATCCAAATAAAAGATTTATATTTGTTTATGGCACATTACTGCATGTTCAATGTGTAATTGTGTATATATTCTGCCACCATACCCTTGTGATGCATCCAAGCAATATAAATTTGTTCTGGCTATTGGTGATTTTATTAACAATATCCATCTAGATAAGTGTATTTTCCAAACAAAAAAGTGCACCGATTGCTTAGAGGGGGTGTTTTTTTTCAATATGTGCCATAATAATTCCCTGTGTGTCATGTATAATTTATATGGGTAAATATGACAATTTTTTAATTAAATGGTATGATAGGGTGATTGTTATGAGAAGCATAGCTTTAAAGGGTAATTCCACTTTCCCAGGAGAATTTGGGAAAATGTAATTACCCCCTCTAATATGGCCCCCTCTCTCCCCCGCTGCTATGCTTACCTTTGGGCGAACGCTTCTTCCCCTCCGCTGGTGCCAGTGTACTATTCGTACCCCGGCGAGCACTCATTGGTCAGAGGGGTCACCTGACCTCGCTGACCAATGAGACGCGCTTCTTAGCAAGAAGGGGCAGAGGGGAAAAAAGGTAAATATAGCAAGGGGGCCCCAATGAATCACAACTGGGCAGAGCCGGTTGTGATGTCACGGCTCGCTCCGCCCAGTAGTAATGACAGATCAGCACCCCTAAATGACCTGGGAACGCTGATCTGTCATTAAACAATAACAACTGGGCGGAGCCGGCTGTGACGTCACAACAGGCTCCGCCTAGTTGTTAATTATTGGCCAGGACCTGCTAGAAGACTCTGGCAGGTGCCAGCCAATAGGAAACAGTTGGGCAGAGTTAGCTGTCCCCGCTAGCTCCGCCCAATTGTGTTTGTTTTGCTGGCATCTTTGCCGGCGGTTTTTAAAATTATTTTCAGATTTCTTTTTTTTTCTTCTTTTCTTGAAACCATTTTAACTTTTTATTAAATTTTCCTCATTTACATTTTTAAAATTATTTTTCAACCCTTTTTTTTTCTTTCCCCTTCATTTCTTTCACTCTTTCTATTCTGCGCGGTACCTCGGAGGTACCGAGCATAATAACCAAGCCGATTGCCGCACGGCGGCATTCGGCTATTCACTCACTGACATATGACCCCTATGAGAATATGGGCGAACGGCAGCGAGTGAGCTGCCGGAGTTTCGGCTCAGATGTTCCTACAGATGTTGGATTGGCTGAGTAAGGGACTTCCACTCAGCCGAACATGCTTTAACAGAAGGCAGCAGATGTATGGCTGAAATCAGTCGTACTGAGCCAGAGTGAATAGCCGAGCGTCATTTGGCTCACTTCACTTCGGCTGGGTTATTCACTCTGATGCCATCGGCAACTCAAACAATTCATCCCCATACAGCTACCTCCTCATGTACCACTAGACCCTC